TCTTAATATTCATAATAATCAAAATTGATAATATGCCAAAATTATAGTATTTCTTTAAGAAAGCTATTATGAAGGTATTATATCAGGCCTATTCATTTATGACACTTATACTTAATGAACTGAAATTGAAGAAATCTAAACAAACACATTCAATTCATAGTCATAATCATTTTTTAATACTTTAAAACAGACAATTCTAATTATGGTTTCCCCATGTCTTATGGAACATGTCATATGGAAATTTAAGAACATAAAACTTAGCATATTAGATTAGATACCTGAGACTGGCCATCTAGAATAATTTGTATATACTTGCATACATATCTAATTTTCTCTTGTATAAGAATAAGTTACTGGAGGACAAGGACTATGTTTTATTGTAGTTCTATAACCCATAAAGCATCCTACCTGTGGAAGCCTCTCAAAAACAGATGATGGATGAAAAATAACCTGTTTTTTACAGAGACATGAATGGTTGTTTTATAGTAAGGGATATTTACTCTTGTAACATGATCTTAAGGTAAGTAGATATGCCATAAAAATACCTAGCTTTCTAGGCATTTATGATTCTGTCAGTGATAAATGTAATGTTCCTAAAACTTGTTTAATCTGCTTTTGCTTTTAAACTATGCCAGCTTTTAGAGGAAAGATGCTTTCCAAAATCTGAGTGCTCCTAAAATCCAAAATCTAGTCTCCTTCAAAATTTGGGCCTATAAAAGATACTCCAGTTGGTTTACTACTTAAAATTACATTGAAATTTTATTTTCTAATATTGGGCACCAATTAGGAAAAGGAATAAAGACAATACCTCAGTAATCGAACATTATTAGAAATAAAGAATTTATCATAAGCATACTTTCCAAGTAATTTAAGTTTACTAGTTTAAACACCACAACTGTTTATTTTAACCACTTTGATGTACATTCTTCTCAATTAAAAAAAAAGATATGCTTTACTGACTTAAGAGAGAATACTAAATATTTAACCTTTTATGGTTCACATTAGATCATCATTATGAATAGCAAATATTTCATACTATAATATATTGATGTCCCCAAGGGCTTCTAAAACTTATAAAACTGTTCATATTCATTGTAGCCTTTAAAAGATCCCATGTTCCAATAATTTTCCAGTATATGCAGTTATTTTTGATAAGTTTTCCACATTTTCCCTATCATTTCTTGCTGGGACCAATAGACCCTCAAATACATTCTCTCCCCACCCTCCTCATTTTGCTGCTTTTAATCTCCTATGGAAACAGAAACCAGATAAAACAACTTGTCAGAATTATGTCCAAGAAGAAAGCAAGCAGTTTCTCAGTCCAGATCAAACGATCCTGCCAATGAGTAAAACATGGGAGCTTTCTAAGTAGGGGGATGTCACACAATTTGAAGAAGGATTTTTCCACAACTGTTTCAGCTTATTTCCTGGTTCTTGCCTATTGTCCAGGTATGAGTTGCAAAATTAGTGACCTTTTAATAAGAGAAGTATTATAATAATTGTTTTTCAAAGTTTTCTCTTTTAAATTTCATATAATTTTATAAATATATGTGACATATTTACCTAGCTGTAAAGTCAAGACCTCCTTCAATATTTCTTAGTGATTTTGTTAATTAAGGTTAAAGTTAAACATATTTTGGCCTCTGCATAACTAAAAGAAAAGGGATATTTTAGTATATGTGCTGCCAAAGGAAGCACAACTTAGTGCTGGAAGTCCTAGCCAGAGCAATCAGACAAAAGAAGGAAATCGAGGGCATCCAAATGGTGGCAAAAGAGGTCAAACTATCGCTCTTTGCTGACAATACGATCTTATATCTAGAAAACCCCAAAGATTCTGCCATGAGACTACTGGAATTGATAAACAAATTCAGCAGTCTCAGGTTACAAAATCAATGTACAGAAATCAGTAGCATTCCTATATGCCAATAATAGTCAAACTGAGAACCAAATCAAAGACTCAATACCCTTCACAACAGCAACAAAGAAAATAAAATATCTAGGAATATATTTAACTAAGGAGGTGAAAGAACTCTAAAGGGAGAACTATGAAACACTGAGGAAGGAAATAGCAGAGGACGTAAACAGGTGGAAAACCATAGCATGCTCATGGTCAGCAGAATCAACATTGTTAAAACGTCTATACTACACAAAGTGATCGACAGATTCAGTGCAATCCCTATTAAAATACCAACATCATTTTTCACAGATCTAGAAAAATAATTCTACGCTTTGTGTGGAACAAGAGAAGGCCCCATATAGCAAAAGCAATCTTAAGTGAAAAGAACAAATTGGGAGGCATCAATATACCAGACTTCAAGTTATACTACAAGGCTATAGTAACTAAAACAGCATGGTACTGGCACAAGAACAGAGACATAGACCAATGGAGCAGAACTGAGAACCCACATATAAAACCATCCTTATATAGCCATCTAATCTTTGACAAAGCAGACAAAAACATACATTGGGGAAAAGAATCCTTATTCAATAAATGGTGCTGGGAAAATCGGATAGCCACATGTAGACGACTGAAACAGGATCCACATCTCTCACCTCTGACAAAAATCATCTCACGGTGGATAAGACTTAAACCTAAGGGATGAAACTAAGAATTCTAGAAGAAAATGTTGGAAAAACTCTAATAGACATTGGCTTAGGATAAGAACTTATGAAGAAGACCACAAAGGCAATCACAGCAACAACAAAAATAAATAAATGGTACCTGATCAAATTAAAAAGCTTCTGCACAGCCAAGGAAAGTATCACAAGAGCAAACGGACAATCTACAGAATGGGAGAAAATATTTGCATGCTATGCATCCGATAAAGGGCTGATAACTAGAATCTATATAGGACTCAGGAAAATCAGCAAGAAAAAATCAAACAACCACATTAAAAAGTGGGCAAAGGACATGAACAGAAACTTTTCAAAAAAAGACAGACTAATGGCTAACAAACATATGAAAAAATGCTCAGCATCTCTAATCATCAGGGAAATGCAAATCAAAACCACAATGAGATATCACTTAACTGTAGTGAGAATGGCTTTTATCAAAACGTCCCAAAACAACAAATGTTCACATGGATACAGAGAGACAGGAACATTCATACATGCTGGTGGGACTGCAAACTAGTATGACCTCTGTGGAAAGTCATATGGAGATACCTCAAAGAGCTACAAGTAGAACTATCATTTGATCCAGCAATTGCACTACTGGGCATTTACCCAAGAAAAAAAAGACATTCTATAAAAAAGATCTCTGCGCTAGAATGTTTACAGCAGCACAATTCACAATTGCAAAGATGTGGAAACAACCCAAGTGCCCATCAATACATGAGAGCATTAATAAAACGTGGCATATGTATACCATGGAGTTCTACTCAGCCACAGAAAACAATGGTGATCTGGCACCTCTTGTATTATCCTGGATAGAGCTGGACCCATTCAACTAAGTGAAGTAACACAAGAACGGAAAAACAAGCACCACATGTACTCACCATCAAATTGGTATTAAGTGATCAACACTTATGTGCACATATAGTAGTAACATTCGTTGGGTGTCGGGCAGGCGGGAGGGGGCTGGAGGGGCCGGGTATATTCACACCTAATGGGTGTGGTATGCACCATCTGGGAGATGGACACACTTGAATTTCTGACTCAGATGGGGCAAAGGAAATATATGTAACCTAAACATTTGTACCCCCATAATATGCTGAGATAAAAAAAAAAAGAAAGAAACTGGATATTAACATATATATGTGTCACTATATATTAACTTGAGTATTTTTAATTTGATCCTATTTAAAACATTAAATCCTATAGAATACTACAAATTATCTTATACCCAGAAAACAAGTTTTATAATGAAAATCGTAAATATGAACATAAGGAAGCACATTAACTCTTGCTGGATACTAGTATACCAGTTAATTATTTGTTTGTTTAGAGTAACCAGAGCAATAAGGAAAACTAGAAGATTTATACTGAGCACATACCTCAAAACTGACAGGCATATTTCGCTTCAGAGCAATTTCAAACACTAAGCTGATCTCAGATTTATTCGCATCTTTGTCATCATCCATTTCTTTTCCTGATTCACCATTCTAAATTACAAAAAAAAGGATAATATTGAATCTGAATTCTGACTTTAAAACAAACTTTACATATATGCTACAGTCAAGAGAGCCTATCTAAAATACAATGAAAAACAACAAACTGTAGACTGTATCTAGTGGATTCCCATGTAATCACAGTAGTCAGGGGCTTTGTTGCAGGCTATTGTTACTTGGTTTTTAGATTTTACCTTAAGTAAAATTATTTAATGCAGAGTTTGGAAATATTTTACTCGACTATACACTAATTTGAATTGATCTTATATCCCCAGACCTAGTACTCTTTATTTTAGAGATCTCTACTCTCCCTAGACCCACCACTCCACAATTCCCCCACTGATGTTCTAACATGATCTATGAAGAGTAAGTTACATAAAGAGTACAGGATGCTGGCACTCTAAGTCTGGTATTGGCACCAATTCACTTATTTAACACATAGTCCTGAAGGGCCTCATATATGCTGAACATAGTGCAACTATTAGAGATAAAGAGAAGTATTCCTGCTGTCAAAAAGCTTATGATCTAGTTGGAAAACAGATAAATAGGTAAGAGTTATAATGAAAGACTATAAGCAGAAAAATACCTAAGGCTGCCATTAAGATAAATCTCAAAGGAGGAAGAACAAGAGATTTGGGAAAAGGAGAATTGTAGAGGTTGAACTATAGGGCTGGAAATAACTAAGTGGAAAAGTGCAATAAGACAGCAACTATACTATAGGTAGGACATGCCTGAGCTAAAGATACTATTTTGAAGCCAATGGAGACAGCAGCTAAAGCCATGAAAATGAGTGAGATTACTCAAGAATAACCTCAATATTTTCATTTGTAAAAAATAAAGTAGGACTGAAAAATCCATAAAAATCTCCTCTACTTTAAATTACTTGATTATAGATTAACATAATGTAATCTATGCTCAATAAACCTATCATTTTATTGCTTCTTTATCTTGATGAGACTATGAGCTTCTTTAGCATTAGCTGCAATAGCTAAAGCAATAGCATTAACTGCAAGGCAAATGAATATTATTTCTCATCCTTGTACATATCCCAAAATCCTCAGTTGCCTGGGGAATGAACTTGAGAGGTGAACTAAAGTTCTGAAAGGTAAGGTCATCTTGGCAGGAACACATGAGTCTAGTATAGTAGACAGGTAGTCTGACAAGCAAATCTTAGCAGATTGCCACTCTAGTATTTTACTCTATCAGATTATTTCTTTTATTTATAAAATGCATTTATTTGTCTTCACAATAATCTCACAGGGAAAGTAAATACAGCAATACCACACCTGATGTGATTTTTCTGGAATAGGTTCATTCTGCAGTGCTTGAAGGGCTTTCATTGCAGCATTGTGTCTAGCAGCTTGTCGAGTCTTTCCTTCCCCAAAAAATTCATTATTTCCTACAGTTAGCTGAACGTAAAAGATCTTAGGCATTGGGCAATGATACCTAAAATAAGAAAGTAAAAACATTAATGGTAGTTCAATAAAATCACTCTACAATCATTAGTAAGATTTCTTTTGTTTAAAATGATACCAACTATATAATGTACTATATCCTCTCACTAATCCCAATAAAATTTTAACCTCATGAATATACTTATAAAAGATAAAATGTGAGTCAATATATCTATAGTTAATAGTATATACTGATCTCCATTAAAAGCACATATAGAATGCAACATTAAACATAAACACTGAACAGTAAAAATGGGGAAGCTACTACAGAGGTAAGAGACAGGCAAGCATTTAGGAGACAATGTGCATATTACTGTGCTTCTAGCAGAAGATAATTATGATTAGAAGTATGGGGACAGAGAGATAGACTTAGTATAATGCAAAGTAATGAGGAGATCAGATTCAACACAAGAAAGAATAAAGAGTTTAAGCCAATTCTTAAGCAGGAAGTATCATATTAAAATGTATTTTAAGGTGAAGAATTTTAACAGGTTTGTCTTTAATGAGACTGAGGTAATAAGGCATGACTAGAAAGCTTTAATAATGAAGATATGAGACAGGAACACTTTGACACTGCTGGTGGGACTGCAAATTAGTGCAACCTCTGTGGAAAAGAATTTGAAGATACCTCAGAGAGCTAAAAATAGAAATACCATTCGATCCAGCAA